GTACTGGACAGTGTATTTACATGAAATAAAGTCTAAGTTTGATGTTTTCTGATAATCTGAACCAAAGTCACACACACTTTTTTATATATATATTTGTCCACACTGTTCCTGACATACTGAGGGAGGGGCTGGAGAGAAGAACTCTGGGAAGTTTGAAAAAAAAAAGCTTAATTTTCATCAGAGGACAGAGGAGTGAGCAGAGGACCAATGTGTCCTCGGTGATGGACACTGAAGGATACAAAGATATAGTCGTCCATGTACCTCTTCTTCAGGTTCTCCGTGATGGCGTCCTCGCTAATCTTGGACAGCAGGACCATGTCGTCCACGCCACTCACCTTCACATTCTGGGCCTGCCAATGGTATCGCTCCTTACTGCCCTGAAGGGGGGGAGAGAGGGAAGAGGAGGCATTAACACAGTCAGCGTTATACACTGTTCATTTATAACACATTAATATTGACAGATTATTACAGTGAATGTGTTTGTGTGTGTGGGATGGGGGGGGGGCAGGAGGGGTGAGAGTTTACTAAATTCCCAACATTCCTCTGTCTTGTGGGATCATGTTGTCTCAAGGACCAGAACAGGGACCACGCCCCGCCTTGTTGCCTCGACATGCAGAGCTGCGGGACACTTTGAATGTGTGAGTTGGTTTGTCTGTGATTGTGTACAGACCTGGACCTTCTCTGTGTTTGACACAAACTCAGACCTCATGACTTTTTTCATCAACATTTTGCTCCATCAGGTCTGAACACCAAATGAATGGGTTTGGGTTTTTTTCTTTTTCTTGGTTCACATTTAAGGTGTGTTTACACTAACTAGTTCACTTCCTGTGGTTCACATCAAGAAGACTTTATAGTGTACCACATTCAGTCTGATACAAAGTCCTGGTCTCACCAATGTCCCACTTCACCCTGTGCTACAATGGGGACATTAGGGTCCACAAAATAGACATGTTTGTCCACTTTAAGAGAACGCACCAAGAACATTCTCATTCTGGTTCTTTTCAATTAAAGACAAATATTCTCTTATGTGTCACAGTTCTGGAAAGTGTTTGTAATTTAAATCTGACCATCTGTAACAGTATTGATAAACTGATTGGTTGACTTCTAGAATCCAAATACACTCTGTTCTGATTGGACAGACACCTTGTGACATCATCACATCTCCTGAAACTCTGCAGAGATGTGACAGGTGACTGCAGGGAAACAGATTACGACATGACATCATTCCTACAACATTAGCATTCTAAAAATATTAACTGTTCATCAGTGATGTCATTGAGGACCTTTGACCTTTTCCACTGCTGAACTCAATTCTGGGATTCTGATCATGTCAATGAAAACATAAATGTACAGCAACCAATCAGTGATGAATTATCAGTAACTGATCAAACAGATGTTGAATCTAACCAAAGACCGGAATCAAACCGGAGACCAGTCCCAGCACCTGACCTGTTTTATAACCTTAACAACATTCAAACCATTAACTTTAAATTCCTGATGATTTGTATGGTTAGAACGAGACTTTAAAATAGATCACAGACTGACCAGATCCAGGACAAGGTCCCGGACTTTATCTAGACCCAATGTGTGTCAATAAAACCATAAACTCACCATATTGTGGTCTGCTCCTTTTTTCACTTCCTGTTTCAAAAACTTAGGGCTTCTTCACTTCCAAGTGTGTCCTGGGAGGGGGGGGGGGTTCTTGTGGGCTCAGATTGGCCCGGGTCAGGATCTAGACCGGACCTGGACCAGTCGAGTCTGGATAAAACTGCTTCAGAACCGCGGACTGTCACAGCCTCAACATTTTGCTGCCTGTTTTTTCCTACACTCGTCAACTCCGTGCAGGTGTGGACAGGTTAGACTCCTCCCCTTCTCCTGTTGGATTCTGGGTGATGCGGTTCACCACCGGGACTCCAGGTGTGTCCAGGTTAAACACGAACCTCGTCTTAGCGCTGCACAACGAAGCACTACTTTTCTGCCCTCTGCTGTCAGGATACCTATAATGCAAGAACCCATTTACCTGTGACCAGGTTTTTAATTTAATTCAAATACTTGAAATCACAATGTTCAAAACAAATTTCGGGAAATACTGGCTGTGCCACACCCAAGATTGTAGAGAAAATCAGTCATTTTATTTCACAGAGCAACAGACGCTGCCGGCTCACTGCTGCCTCTTCTGAATAACAGACATTTTTGTTGCACAAAAGTCGATGTAAAAGTCGAAAGCAACTGTGAAATGGAGAACATTTTCCAATAATGTTCTTTAGTAGCGGCCATATTTTCACAGACAGCCAATCCTTCAGACTTGGGCTGTTTCTAGCAGCCGGCGCTCACTGCACAGTAGTTACTGACAATGTGTTAGTACCTGTAAGAAACACACTTAAGACACACTGTTACGTATGTGATGGGGGTTGGATGGGTTTCATGAGTGGATGCAAAGTGGATGGATGACTGAATGGTTGGATGACTGACAGACTTGTAGGTAAAAAGTTGCAGACAAATGACTGAAAGATGGTTGGTTGGAAAACAGGATGGATGTAAGAGGGGTTGGGTGGATGGATGGATGTTAGGTTGTATGCAGTAACGGACACAGAGCTGAAGGGAAACACTGGTTTGATTTAATGTGTTTTCACACTGTCTGCAGTTAAAGGGCTAAAACATGAAAAAGAGCAGGATGGTCCTTTAAAGAGTCTCTGCTTATTTCACAGCTAAAAGTTTGCTGCTCTCTGATTGGCTGAGAGCCCGGCTGAGCAGCTAAGGAGGGATTTCAGTCCAACTGTACAAGAAAAGGGCGCAACTGAAACATAAAGTGGAATAAAATAACGACAAACACACAGACACACACAGACACACACACAGACACACTCTCAGACAGACGCAGTCATTTGTGGCAGGTGGTCACATGATGCCATTGGTCAAGTACTGGAAGCCATCGTACAGTTTGGTGGTCAGAGACCTCATGGATCCGTCCACCAACTGGTGGATAAGAAGCTGCAGCTGCTCCTCCGTCAGACTCATGTGGAAACGCTCCTTCAGCTGACGCATGGTACTGCTGCCATGGAAACAAGGAAGCTGCGTGCCTGGTTGAGAGCAAAAGGGGGTGAGAGAGCGGAGCCAGGTGGCGCTAAAGAAACCATTTGAAACAAATGCTAAGCTAACCAACGTTTTGGAGGTAACGCTTCGTAAACTGCACTCCTGCAGCTGAAATACCACATGTATGTGTGTAGTATGCGTGAGTATTTGTGTGTCACCTTGTTGCATGATCTCCACAATCTGCAGAACTCTGTCCATGTGTTTTCTGGCTGCAATCAAACCCTGAAGCATCAACATCTTATAGTAGTTAAACATGTCTCCATCTGGACCTCCCATCACCTACACACACACACAAACAGATCATCAGGTTAATGTAGAGACAATGATTTAAACACTCAACATCTTCTACCTCAGTGGTGTTCAACATAACATTCCATAGAACATAATGATGTTTTCAAAGTAAATAACAGATTCGATTTGTGTTCCTGGGGCTTTTGTTTTGAAAGAAAGCACAGTTTCCTGGCACAGGTTTTTGTCGACTGTATCAGACACCGTTCTGCAGAGGTTAAATTAATGTTTACAGTTGATCCAGTTCTACACTTTCATAGTTCTTGTATCGGATACAACACCCGTCTTTCCCTCTTCAACAACTCCTCTGGTGCCCTCGAGGGACGGTGCATTTCAGATCAATGTGTTACATCGGGTGCATTTCAGATCGATGTGTTACATCATGTACAACATGTGTTACATCATACATCATCACTATGAAATCAACAACACTCACATCTACAAACTCAGCGGTGAGTTTGAAGGCTGACGTCTCAAAGCCCAGGTTTTTTGGTGAACTGGAGAGAATGAAGCCAAAGTCGATGTGGATGATGTGACCTTCGGAGTCCAACAGGATGTTGCCATTATGTCTGCGGGAAAAGAGGACAGAAGACGCAGAGGATAAATCTCAACGTCCACTGCACCGACGTCAAAGGTGGGTGGGGGGCGCCTGTCTCACCTGTCCTTCACCTGCAGCAGGTAGCAGATAAGGCTGTACCCAGCACAGCTCTGAACAAAATTCCTCTGAGCAGACAGGAAGTTCTCGGAGGTGGTGGCGCCGTGCTCCTGCAGGAAGTAGTCGAGCAGCGACAGCTGACTCTGCTTCTTCACCTGATGCAGCGACACAGCGTTCACCACCGGCTCAATCATCCCGCTGTCCGAAGACAGCACCAGGATCTTATAGGGCCTGATCCACAGAGGCACGCGCTCCTGCTGCCAGATGGACTGCAGGGGGCGACAGGGAGGTCGAGTGACTAACTGGTCATCGCCATCAGAGATGTTATCTTCATCTTTGTGAGGAGGTCAGTGTTACCTGCAGCTGCTGCAGCACCTGGGAAGCCAACAGCTCCTGTCGCAGGTCATCTCCACATTTGACGATGACAGACAGAAGCCTCCAGTGTGGCAGGTGACCATACGGCGACGCTTCTCTGATCCTCCTAAAAAACAGAAACTGACAGTTAAACTCAGGTGCACTCAATACTCCACAGGCAGACACAGGTACTGCATCTATGTAAAATACGGTTGCTGTATCTCCTGTTGGCAAATATAAGGACTACATACAGTCGAATCAAATACGGTCCCTCAGCTGGCAAACAAAAGTACTGCAGCCAGTTAAATCAGACCCAAGTCTGCCCCTGCAGCACTGCCTACCTCACTTTCTCCTCCCAGGGCTCCTTCAGAGCCACAGCTGATGGATCCTCAGGGTCACGTCTGAAGGTGGTGGGGGCCTGGGCCAGCTGTTCTGAGAGACGACGCCTGAAAACAGACAAATGCAAAAAGTTCAGCCGTCCACAAGTACGAGCAAAAACAGCCCATTTACTACGTCCCGTTTGTGAAGATTCCCGTTCACAGACCTGATGTCGCCTGCAGCAATGAAGATGGGTTCTTTACTCTCCAGACTGGTGATGCTGTCCACAGAAAACTGGCTGATGTTGTCGCAGCTGCTGGCATGAAGCTCTGGAAGCTGAAGAGGAGGAAGAAAAAAAGTACTTCATCCTGATGACACTGTTTCCTGTCTGTCACACTGAACATGTCATTTACTGCCATCGCTTCCTCACCTCCACTTGCAGCTCCCCGATGTCATCTACAGACCAAGCCTCATCGTCATTGTCGTAGTTGGGAACAACGGAGAAGCTTCCGGCTCTTTGTTCCGCTGTCATTCCACAGTCTGGAAGATTCTCCACTGATCGCGTGCTTCTGATCCGGTTCTCAGGGATCCTGATTGGAACACTGGACGTCTCGAAGTTTTCACACTCCAGAACCTCAACGTAGATGAGATATGGAGCCTAAGAGAGGTCACAGGTCAACTTTTTACAATTAGAATTTCCAGGGAGAGAGAACATTCGTAGAGCATGCTGTGTGTCTCAAACGTCTGCTCATCATCAGTTTAATTGAGACGCCGTACATCTGGATTAAAGTTCCTCACCTTGTCTTTGGAGTTCAGCACCACGGCCTGTGTGTGTGGCACTCGCACCACGTGGTGGTCAAAGGCGGCGGTCGGCAGCCACACCCGTCCTGGCAGCTTGTGGTTGAGCAGTGACAGTTCGGATATAAGACGCTGTGTCTTCTGCTCTTTGGTAGGAAGTGTCGCCAAACGCTTCCCGATCCCCATCAAAGACTTGATGAACTCTCGCTGTGGAGCGAGACGCACCGGCTGCAGGAGAAGGGTGACAGGAGGAGGACAGGGAGACAAGGGGAGGTCAGGAAGTGTGGCGGTGGACAGAAAGGACAGAGACAGGCGGAGGACACAGGTCAAATAAGTTTCTCAGAATGATCTGGTCTCCAGTTTTGATCAGTGGACAGAACCACAGAGTGGACAGAACCACAGAGTGGACAGAACCACAGAGTGGACAGAGGTGAAGACAAAACACATGAGCTCAATGATCCCAGACTAGTCCACTCCTCAAACCCCTGATTTGATCTGACAAGGTTTTTTCTCTCTCTCTCTCTCACTCGCTCTCTCACATGCAAGCAAACACAGAACCGGAATCAAAACCCACACACTTCATTTCCCACAATGCACCCTGGAGTAAGGAACAGGAAGCAGTCAGACTTACGGGACCAGTCTCAAACTCCAGACTGTCAGAGCTGGAGCTGCTGTCCTGAGGATTAGAGTGTGTGGAAAGATCAACACTTTTCTAAGTACTGATGAAATGTGAGTGTGTCTGAAGATTGGTCACATGACACTGGTCACATGACCAGTGTTGACAATGAGTGTATAGACTATTTTTCATAACTTAATAACTTTTAAACTCTTTAAATAAAATAGCTCTTATTATTTATGCCTTCAAAAAAGAGTCATGTTGTAGCAAAGACTGCCCTCTAGTGACACCACGTTTGTACAGAACACTAACAATGGAAGTTCCTCTCTTGGTCTGGAAATCTAACATATTTTTTAGACTATAATGACATTTGTAGACTGGTACACCGCTGTGGCATCTTTGGAAAACACATGTTTTTCTAAATAATGAATTAACATGTATGGACTTTTTTTTAGATTAAAACTTGAATTATTAAATGTGACGGCAGGTTTGATGAAATGACAGATTACGTTTCTAAATACTAATCACCAATTAGCTAATGAATCACCATTCACACTGCTATTTGATGACATCAAAAGTCCCTGAGGCTCAGAGTGAGACACCGGCCACTTCATTCTCTATAGCTGGAGATTAGGACTGGAATTTTAACATGTTATGTTATGTTCATTTGATTAATTAACAATAATTAGTAACACTGATGCACACAGCCAGTAGGTGGCAGAAATGTAAAGTTTGTCTGCCCACCATAATGACCTGAAACAGTGATGAAATGAGAAGTAGTTTTTATTAGATTTTGTTTAACAGATTTTTTTAATTTTCTGTCCTCAGCTTAGGACAGGGCTGTGTTTAACAAACAGTTTTCTTATCACTGCAGTACTTTCAGTCGACAGTATCACCTCAACGTACCACATGTTGAGCACAGACACTAGAACTAAAGTTAGCTACTCCTAGTATCTCCAGACATCCTAGAGATCAGATGACAGCACACAGAGACAAAAACAAGTCTATTGTCCCTACCTCGTCCTGGCTGCTCTCAACCTTGGGATTGCTGGCTGTTCTCTTCAGGTTGCTGCTCAAGCTGATGCTAACAGTGGCGTCAGACTTGGATCGCTGATGTGTTCGTTTGGACGGCGACAGGCCGTGGTCCGGCACCAGGGACCCAGAAGCTGCTGTAGTGGCGGTGGAATGGGGCAGGGCAGGACAGAAGGGAGTGAGTGTCAGGGCTTCCCTGCGAGCGCGAGCGCCCACGGGTTTGAGTTCATCAGAAAGTATAAGTTTCCTGAGTTTGGTTCCTCTGGAGTGGCGCTGTGTGGAGATGTGCATGTCTGAGGAGTAAGCACCGAGGAGCCAGGCACACTGAAGACTGAAGGAGATGCTCTGTCTGCAGCGGTGCACCTGCAAACACACACAAACAAAGACGTCAACACACAAACACAACACAAATCTGACCACAACCAACAGTTTTAGGCATGTGCCGCCACCTACTGTACTAGAGTGTGTAGTCTCATGGTATGACCACTGACGTTGTGAGATAACACAGCCTACTCCTTATGCCTTAATTTGTTTATGTTAACCAATGGTAATTACCACGCATTTGTGGAGGTGAGATTTTAACCTGTAGAGAATGAAGATTGTCTGAGGAAACACACTAAATAGGAGAAATTAGAGATGCACCCATCAGCCAGCCAGTGATTGAACAAGCTTTTATTTGTCAGAAAGTTAGCACACATAAACTCACTTTAAAGAATGTTAAGATTTAAATAAGCAAATAAGAGTTTAGATTCAATTTCCGGGAAATGCAGAAAATTTTGTTTGAATTCTCACTAATTCACTCTGATGTTGGATGTTGTGAACTCACCACGTATGGCTTGATGGCATCACCCACATCCTCGTCCATGTGAATGTACATGTTGAGTAGCTGTGGCAGGTAAAAGTCCACCTCCTCATGGGAGAAACTGAAGAGTCTGTTGCCAATGTAGGCCTGGACTCCGGGCTCTTTAGAATTGTGTAGGTATGAGATCGCCATGGCGACATCGAAAAGTTTAGACTCAAAGAGGCGAAGCAACCAGGACTGTTTGGAGGGATTGTGTTTCTGCCGCCGTCGCGTGCTCTTCACAGTTCCGGGCACCAGGCCCTCGGGTTTGGCCTCCTCCTCAGCAGCAATGGGACCACTGGGGCCCCCTGGGACCACTGGATCCGTTTGTTCATGTAAGTCAGTGACATCATCAGACCCCACCTGCTGCAGCTTCACCTTCTGTAGAACCTCGTGACATGCACGTTGAGCCACCTCAGCATCTATAACCAAACTGAGCTCACACACACCCTCGTTGATTACACCCAAAAGGGGGGCAACGGGCTGTGTGGAGCCACAGGACGAGGAAGGTGTGGAGGGGAGAGAGACGGAGGGAGATGAGGAGGAGGAGATGGACAGGGAAGGGCTGTTCTGGTCAGAAGGGGCAGGTGATATCTCCAGCTCTGTGTCCTCCATTGGGGTGCAGGAAAGC